CTTGGGAAAAGGTGTCTCCAGGCAGGGAATGAGCCCTGGAATCCCAGGAAAAGCAGGGAATGCTGCATCCCAAGGAACGTGGGAACTTGGGAAAAGGTGGCTGCAGGCAGGGAATGAGCCCTGGAATGCCAGGGGAAAGCTGGGAATGCTGCATCCCAAGGAATGTGGGAACTCGGGAAAAGGTGTCTCCAGGCAGGGAATGAGCCCTGGAATTCCAGGGAAAAGCAGGGAATGCTGCATCCCAAGAAATCCCAGGGAAACCGGAAGCTCTGGAATACTTTTGGCTTTATTTCCCAAAGATTTAAGGCAGCACTTATTATCGATTATTAATTATTAATTATCGATTATTAATTATTAATTCTCAATCCCTAATTAATTATTGGCTCATTAAAACCCCAGGGAAAAGCCCCGGGATGGGATCAGGGATCCAAGGGATGGATCCAGCCCCCAAAACCATCCCAAAATTCCCACAAAACCCCCCCTCCCCTTCCTTTTCCTGGGAGGTGCTTGGAGCTCTTCCCGGCTCATCCATTCACTTGGATTCCCACCCCCAAAATTCCCAAAAATTCCCAAAAATTCCCAAAAATTTTGGCTCAGAGGTGGGAAAATCAAAGCCCGGAGATGGAAAATTGCTCCCCCCAAAGGAAAAAATTCCAAAGGAAAAAATTCCAATGGCAAAGGCACAATTCCAAAGGCAAAGGCACAATTCCAATGGAAAAGGCACAATTCCAACGGCAAAGGCACAATTCCAATGGCAAAGGCACAATTCCAGCAGCAAAGGCAGAATTCCAAAGGCACAATTCCAAAGGCAAAGGCACAATTCCAAAGGCAAAGGCACAATTCCAAAGGCAGAATTCCAAAGGCAATGGCACAATTCCAAAGGCAAAGGCACAATTCCAAAGGCAGAATTCCAAAGGCAATGGCACAATTCCAAAGGCAAAGGCACAATTCCAAAGGCAAAGGCACAATTCCAAAGGCAAAGGCACAATTCCAAAGGCACAATTCCAAAGGAAATGGTACAATTCCAACAGCAAAGGCACAATTCCAAAGGCAAAGGTACAATTCCAATGGAAAAGGAAGAATTCCAGCAGCAAAGACACAATTCCAATGGGAATTCCAAGCCCTCGGCCCCGGGAGAAGGGAAAGTCGGGAAAGGCTCCCGTTCACAGCCGGGAATTCCCGGGAGAAGGAAAGGGAAGGGAAAAGTCGGGAAAGGCTCCCGTTCACAGCCGAGAATTCCCAGGAAAAGGGAAGGCAAAGCCAGGAAAGGCTCCTGTTCACAGCTGGGAATTCCTGGGAGAAGGGAAGGTTTGGGAAGGGAAGAGAAGGGAAGGGAAGGGAAGGGAAGGGAAGGTATGGGAAGGGAAGGAAGGGTTGGGAAGGGAAGGGAAGGGAAGGAAAAGCTGGGAAAGGCTCCCGTTCACAGTTGGGAATTCCCAGGAAAAGGGAAGGGAAGGGAAAAGTCGGGAAAGGTCCCATTCACAGCCGGGAATTCCTGGGAAAAGGGGGGTCCGGCGGGAGCCCTTCCAGCCACTCCAGCAGGATCCTGGTGACCTCCGCCGGCCTGCGGGGAAAGCTGGGAATAGGCTGGGAGCCGGAATTCCCGGGAATGTTGGGAAGGGGGGTGGGTTATCCCGATTCCCACCTTTCCATCTGCGTCCAGTGGCCGCATTCCTCCAGGTGCTCCCGGCGCAGCCGCGGGATCTTGGGAAGAGAGAGGGGGGGAAAGGGATGGAGGGGGTTTGGATCCTATCCGGGGGCATTCCCGGTTTTCCTTGGGATCTCTGGTGGGATTCCCAGGGTTGGGAATTCTGGGCTTACCCAGTTTTCCATGCCCTTGCTGAGGCTGGGATGCAGCACCGGGTCCTTCCCGGCCGTCACCATCAATGCCGGCAGTGGGATCTGGGGGGATCCAGGGATTCAGAGGGATCCAGAGGGATCCAGGGATCCAGAGGGGACATGGAGGGGATGGGGGGATCCAGGAATCCAGAGGGATTTAGGGGACATGGAGGGGACAGGGAGGATCCAGGGGTATCCAGGGATCCAGAGGAGGATCCAGAGGGGACGGGGGGGGAGTCTGGGAATCCAGGGATCCACAGGGATCCAGGGGACATGGAGGAGACAGGGGGGATCCAGAGGGACACAGGGGGGATCCAGAGGGGACAGGGGGGATCCAGGGATTCAGAGGGATCCAGAGGGGACAGGAGACACAGGGGGGATCCAGAGGGAATCCAGAGGGACACAGGGGGGATCCAGGGATCCAGGGGACATGGAGGGGACAAGGGGATCCAGAGGGGCCAGGAGGGATCCAGAGGGACAAGGAGGATCCAGAGGGTATCCAGGGATCCACAGGGATCCAGAGGGGGATCCAGGGATTCAGAGGGATCCACAGGACATGGAGGGGACAGGGGGATCCAGGGATTCAGAGGGAACATGGAGGGGACGGGGGGATCCAGGGATCAAGAGGGATGGGGGGGATCCAGGGGGACACAGGGGGGATCCAGAGAGGATCCAGAGGGGATCCAGAGGGTCAGGGGTGATCCTGCTCCCACCTTCCTGTCCCTGGCGGAGAGGGCCCAGTTCCAGTTGGTTTGGATGTTCCGGTACCAGTTCAGGGGCCCCCTGGGAAAAGTGGGAACGGGCTGGGAATGGGTCGGGAATGGGTGGGGAATCCCCCCAGGGCGGGATCATCCCACTGGGAAGAGCCTGGCAGGGAAATCCCACCCCTTTTCCAGGATTTTGGGGGGTGACAGAGCCCGGCCCGGGGTCATTCCACCCCCCCCCCCCACCTGAATCCGGATTTCTGGAAGCTCCGGATGTAAAATTCCAGCTCGGGGCCCGGCAGGATCCGGCTGGGAGGGGGATCCTCAGGGAATCCCACCAGGAGACCCCCTGGGAAAGGAGGAAGAGGAATGGCAGGAATGGCACTGAACATCCCAGGGAATTCCACAAATCCCAGCAATGCCCAGCCCATAACCCCCATAAATCCCCCCGAACCTCCCACCCCATAACCCTCACCCCATAACCAATATAACCCCACCCCAAAACTCCCCCCATAACCCCCCAGCACCTCCCACCCCATAACCCCCATAAACCCCATAACCCCCCAGCCCCCCCCCACCCCATAACCCCCCTTAACCCTCCCCGAACCTCCCACCCCATAACCTCCACCCCATAACTCCCACCCCATAACTCCCACCCCATAACACCCCATGACCCCCCAGCACCTCCCACCCCATAATCCCCATAACCCCATCCTATAACCCCCATAACCCCATGCTATAACCCCCATGACCCCCCAGCACCTCCCACCCCATAATCCCCCACCCCATAAACCCCATAACCCCCACAACCCCCATATTCCCACCCCATAACCCCCACAACCCCATAACCCCACCCCATAACCCCCATAACCCCACCCCCCTCCCCATTCCCTGTTCTCCATTCCCAGTTCCCCATTCCCCATTCCCTGTTCCCTCCCTGCCCCATTCCCATTCCCTGTTTTCCCCATTCCCATTCCCAGTTTTCCCGTTCCCCCAGGACCGGCTGCCCCTTGGCCTCACGTTGCAGGGGATCCGGGAGCGAGGTCGGCTGGGAACAGGGATGGGGGAGCCTCTTATGGGGTTATGGGGTGGGGTTATGGGGTTATGGGGTGGGAAGTGC